GACGTTGTTTGCAACTGTCACCGTTGGTGCTGATGCTCGGATTTCTTTATCTCATTGTTAACCCTGAGAAGCGTCAATTCAATTAGGCTGAAATGTCAGCAGTTATAACAAAGAGTACCATCTGTCTGTTTCCTTGTGTCTAGAGCCATTGAATTGTCATTTATTGGACAAGAAGAAGACGCAGAAATAAATGAGTTACTGGAAGGTACTATTTAACCATCAATCGTCTGAACTCTTTGAGGTTTCATAAGTAGAGAAATATTCGAAGACCATTTCTGCTCTGATCTCAGGACATCGTGTCTTAACATTACCTGAAATCAAGTCCATAATCTCAGTCGCCGAGAGCAAACAAATGATCAAAGTAAAGGAAAGCTGGACTAAGAACCTGGTGCAATGTACCCAGTTTACGCCTGTATCGCAGCCATGGGTATTTGCCGTGATCTCTGAAATAGTGGTTCCGCTATGGTTATCATAACGCGAAATGGGGATGCTACCACACAATGAGAGGCGAAAAGCTGTGGTCGTTCAGAAAGTCTGGCGAACGCGTTATGTAGCACATGTTAATGTCCTCGTCTCAAGGGAACTGAGTTTCAGAGGACAATCAGCCCAAATATTTTAGTTGGTGGTGTAGTCCTGCCCAATCAGTTATGCGTAGCACTTCCTTTTACGCAGCATCTGGTAAGCTAATGCTGCTATTGTGTAACTTGACACATTCAGGCGTAGTAAACACATTTTTATGTTTGCGCGGTAGCATACAAAAAGTACAAGATTCTAACAAACCGAAGTTTAAGTTAGTGAGTGACCCTAATGAATATAATGATGCGAGATTCAAACATCATGCAGCCATGGCCTTCTTATATACTTGTCTCCCGACTCCTGAGACAATCACGACCAAGGGGCGGTGCCACACTCCGTTAAATCTGGTCTTTTAATGAATTATGATTTGTAAGCTAATCTCATGATAATGAAGTCAAGGGGTAAATTATACTCTCATCCCGTTTATCCTTGCTAGAATGAAAGTCAATTTCTTCATAGCAGAGGTTTGTTCAAATCCAAATTTGATGACAAAGTTGTAACGATCTTCAACGTATGAAGGGCGTCTGTTTCAATATCACACTTTCACTCCTTCGTATTGGCTGACTATGCGATGCGTTGTCTGCTCGGGTAATAGCCGTCATGCACAAGATAACGTGCACAGTTTGTGCAATCATATGTGGAGGTGGAATTCGAAACTTTGAAGGCTTACTACATGACCGAACTCCCTAAAGAACTCCAAACATGCATGCATAGAGTCAAATAGAAAATGGAATCAGTTGCAAAAACATT